TTAAACTAGTCATTAATTATTTTTGAACATTTTTACATATTCATTATTTTTAAATAAAAACATTTTAAATGTTTTAATAGGAAAATTAATTATTTTTTAAAAAATAAATTTATTTATTTATTTAACTCTTCTGTGATAACCTTCCCATATATACGTAAAATAAAAGAGATTAAAAACAAATATTTTTCCATAAAGGGTATAATAAATTTAAAAAAAACCAATTTTATTTTATTTATAGAGTTTTCGATTAAAAAGTTAGTCTTTGCAATCAAATGTAAAATTAAAAAAACAGGCTACTTAAATATAAAATATTTTCAATTAAATATAAAATATTTTTTAAAAATATTATTTTTTATCCCTTATAATGTTTAATAGACATGAAAAAACAGACAGATATTAGAAGAAAGATGGTATCAGAGTAACCAGGCACTATCTAGAGGTAATTATAAAACTATGAGCTTTTAGAAAGAAAAAAGATAAGAATAAAAGTTCTTCAAGACTATCTTTTAAAGATATCTCTATCGCACTGAACATAAACTACAACACTCTCTGTAAAATCTTTAAGACGTTTTTATTTGCATCTGATGTTTATTTAAGACAATACGGTAGAGACAGACGTTCTTAACTTATGTTAAAACAAAATAAACAGTTGTTGTCTGGTTTGACTCTGATCTTATATTAAAATTTAAGGATTTAGTCGACAAAGTTGATGAATTATTTAGGGCATGTTCGGAAATTTTACTATAATAAAATGAATTAACCATGGTAAAATTTAACCATAGTAATTTTTTCGAACAAAATAAATAAATTAACGCGATAAAAAGTTTACCATGGTTAAACAAACAAATTATGTTCGAAAATTTTACCATAATTTTTTTAAAAAAATTACAACCCATAAATAAAAGATTAAAATTAATATAACTGTATTTTTACTTTCTGATGATAACAAAAAATACATAACATGTAAACAATATATCAATGAAACTTATTTTCATTCTAGAAGCTGGTCTGATGAAATTTTAACGAATGGTCTTGAATTAAAATCAACGAAAGTTTTAGATTAAACAGAGAATCAATTGTTTTACTTACAAGAATATTTTATATGCATTCAAATACATTGTTTGTGGTTTTTTAATACAAATTTCGGTATTGTTTCGATTGGCGCCCCATGATCGGATTAGCGCCCAAAATTATATATATATAAATTCTAATAAAATTTTAAAAATATATAACCCTTATGATTTATGAAATATTGTTGCAGATTTTGGGGAGGAAGAATCTTTTTTGACCTTTCTGGAGGAAAGTGGCTGCCTAAAACCCATGGTGGAAAAGTTTTGTAAGTTTTGCGGCAGCAACAGACTCTCTGTAAGGTCAAGAAAGAGAGTCGAGCAGGTGCACTTCTTTCTCTGATGCAAGTCGTATCGAAGAGAATATATGCTCTTCGAAAATATCTTTTTTGTTATGAAGAAGGGAGAACACGACTTGCTACACCTGTCCAATCATTGATAAAGCTGATATTCCTATATTTTGAGGGTAGGACGATAAAATACATTATGTCTGCAACTCAAATTAAAAAAAGTGAAGTTGTTATCAATTAGACAAACTTTATAAGGTTGTAAACACATGATTATATTATAAGTGGAAAATTAGGAGGAGAGTGCAAAGTTGTACAAATCGACAAATCTCTGTTTAGAGGTTGTCGAAAGTATAACCGTTGCAGATTACTTCTTGATGACTTTATGGAGAGTCTTGATGATGCTGACCGTAAAAATAATTATGGTGAACGTGTCAATGGACCATGGGTTTTTAGCATGGCTGAAGAAGGATCCAGGAAGGTCAAAATATTTGTTGTGAAAAAGAGAGATCGTGATTCTCTGCTTCCTCTCCTACTTGAACACGTGAATAAGAGTAGTATTATCCACAGTGATGATCAGAAAGCTTATTCTGGACTAGGTACTGTGTTTAACGACCATAAGGTCGTTAATCATTCAGAAAATTTTGTTGACCTTAATACTCGTTGCCATACTCAATTAATTGAGTGTATTTGGGGTCAAGCAAAATTAAAGATAATAAAGAATAAGATGGGAACTACCCTTACAATGTTACTGTTGGGTGAACCAACTTTAGTTACCAATTTATGTTTATGTCATTGTGACACTTCTGAAACTTCAGTTTCAGAAAATAATATAAAAAGAAAATTGTTTAAATAAATTATCTTGTGAAAAAGAAAGAGTTTACTAAAAAGGAAATAAGTGACCCGTTAGATAAGCTAACAGCTACAAAGCCATTTGAGCTTTTTCTGTTTCTGTTATCAATTTAAAGAAAAATCTTTTGAAAATTTTTTAAAAATAATAGGAAACAATAATTAATAAATATTTTTACTGAAAAAATTATATATATAAAATTTGAGGCGTTAATCCGATTATGGGTCGCCAATCGAAACGGTACCCAAATTTCTCGTATTTTTATATTTTATAAGGAGAAAAATGTCATATAGAGATTTAGTATCAAAATTTGGCATATAAGTTTCAACAGCACATTTATATGGTAAAGAAGTTGTTGAAATAATATTAATATTAAAAAATGATTGTTGTAGTCATTCTGTTTACGCGCGCTGAATTGTAGGTAGTTCTCAAATATTGATTTTAATTTCAATTTATTGTTACTCATTTTTAATTCTTAGGGTGAAGAATTTTTAAAATTAAAATTTAAAAAATTGAATGTTCTAAATTTAAATTTTTATCATTGGTGGGTTGATCGTTAAGACAATCACCATAATTATATTAAACTACCTAACATTAAAGAATTTGAAAATTATCAAATAAATTCATGTTATAATCTAATTTTCTTAATACTATATTGGTTATGGATGGTACACATATTTTAATTACCAATCTAACTAATAGTAGAGGAAGATTTATAAACAGAAAAAGACATGCAAATATAAATTTTTTTATACCGACTAACGCAAATTTTAAAATAAGATATCTTTTTGGCGGCATATTTGGATCATCACATGATTTAACTGTGTTTAAATTGTCAAAAACTAAAGAATGGTGTGACAATATTTTTATTGATACTAAGTTAAATTATCATATATTGGGTGATGCAGCATATCCAAATTTTGATTATATTAAAAATCATTTAAAGATATACTAAATGATTATCAGTCATGATATATTGATTTACTAATACCACAGAGAGTGATTGTTGAGAAGACAATTGATCTTTTTAATGGAAAATTTCAAAGATTTCGTCATAAAATAAAGAATGGTGAAAACAAATTTAATTCTAAAATGGTTTATGCAGCTATAACTATTTATAATTTGACATTAAATGATAGATTAAACAACACACAAGATCAATTAATTAATGAAATAATAAATGAAGAAATTACAAATCAATAAAATAAAATTTGTTAGTCTTTACAAAATCTTTGTATAATTTCTAGTATCTTATTGCCGTAACTACTGTTACTGCTGTGAGGAATTGGTATATAATATTTTTTCGGAGTAAGTAATTTATATATTCCTTAAATATTAAAAAAACAATTTACAATTATTACTTACTTAGACTAAGTAAAAAGGTTTTTAATCTTTGTCATGTTGTGACATGACATCTTTCTCTACTTTAAAGGACTTTACCCCATTAACACTTAAAACTATTCTCTTATCACCTGTATTAACAGTAAGTACATTGCCAAAGGTATTAATAGAAATAATTTCATATGGTTCAAGGTATTTGCTAGATAGCTTATGACTATAGGTATTTTTAATAGAAATTTTATCACCTATAGTATAAGTCCTTCTTTTAAAATTATCAGGTGTAAGATTAGTATTCTGTTTATTTGTTTTGTTAGGAATTCTTAAACCTAGAATATCAAATTTACTGTGATTGTAAAGTAATTCATTAGGAGAACAATTAATCGAAGAGTGATATGAGTTATTAATCACATTTTAGATATTAGTGATGGTGTTGTAAAAATCATTTCCTTTTTGAGTGCACAAACTATCTGTAATTGTTCTATTTATTCTTTCTGCTATTGAATTACTATGGGATAATATATAGAACTAAACAATTTTTAACGTTATATGTATTGCAAAGTGATAAGATAGGCTGACCAATAAATTGTTTCCCCTAATCAGAGAGCAGAGCTTTTGGCTGACCATATTTGATTAACCAACTTTCAATAGCTTTAGCTACATTGTCTGAAGTAATATTTTTTAATATATGTAAATTTACTAATCTTGAATGCATGTCAATTATTGTTAATATATAAACTTTGCCTTCACCATCTTTAAATTCAGAAAGGGTATATGGACCTACTAGATCAGTATCAATTAGTTCATTAAAATTATCTTTACTTAAATGATAAAAGAACTTATTCTCACGTACGTAGTCTTTAGAAGATTGACATTTAATACATCCTTTTGTAAATTCTTCAATTTGTGATTTAAGATTGATTCCAAAATAATAGTTTTTTATAGTATTATAGAGTCTAGACGTACCTGGATAAACTAGTAATTCATGAACCTTTGAAATAAAATCATTCATAGCAGGTTTTGATATAAATATTGATTATCGTCAGTTATTAATAAATTTTCATCATTAAAATTTTTTATTTTTAACCCTTAATTTTACAATCAGATTGATTAAAACCTTTTTGCCAATAAATAATATCATTAACGGATATAAGATTCTTTGACGTATCAGATTTTTATAATCATTAATGAGTGAGATGAAGAATTGTCATTTACAAATCTAAACATATAATCCGCAGCAAGGTTACGAGATTCTTCGACATGTATAAAAGTTAAATCATACTCTGATAGGGCTATTTTCTAGTGAGCAATTCTTTGATTAGATGGTGAATCAAGATATGTAAGATTCTTGGAGTCTGTATAAACGGTAATTTGGTACCCCCAAATCATATTCTTAAAATGTTTAATACCTTTAACTATCGCCAAAAGTTCCTTTTCAGCTTTAGTATAATTTCTCTCAGCTGACAATAATTTGTAACTATAAGTCGCAATTAGTCTATTACCTTGGAACAATAGTGCAGATAATCCCACATCGGAAACACCAGAATATAACTTAAACTTCTTAGTATAATTTGGATGGGATAAAAGGACTTACTTACTTATTAAATCAAATATTTTAACACAGATGATTTCATCTTTTTTTGTCCACTCAAAAGATTTAGAATTATTTTTCAATTTATCAGTTAAAGGTATAAGTATTTTGCTCAAGTCAGGTAAAAAGTCCCTGAACCAGTTTACAAATCCAAGAAACTTTTGAAGTTGTTTTACATTTTGAGATTCGTGAAGATTTCTTATATTATCTATCTTATCCATGTCAGCTTTTATTCCTTGATTAGAAATAATAAACCCGATGTATTTAACTTCATATTGGATAAATTTACTTTTATCGAAGTTAATTTTGACATTATGATTTTTAAGTAATTCAAGTATAATTTTGCAATGTTGAATGTGATCGTGTATGTTTTCACTATGTATTAGGATGTCGTCTAAGTATACTTTAACGAAATCCAGAACATTTAAAATTTGTTGCATTACACGTTGAAAAACACGTGGGGCATTTTTAAGTCCAAAAGGTATTCTTGTAAATTCATACAAGTCATTTGGTAATGCAAAAGCAGTCTTATGGGTGTCATTACTATCAATTTTAATCTGATAATATCCCTTTTCCATATCTAGTTGTGAAAATATTTTAGCTCCAGATAAGTCACATACTAACTCCTTCGTAGAAGGGAAAGGGTATGCATCATCAATAGTGATGGAGTTTAATTTTCTATAATCTATTAATAATCGTAATCTTCCATCTGGTTTTCGCTTGACAAACCAAAGAGAGGCATATGAGGAATCAAACCTCTTAATTATGTTTTTACCAAGTAATTCGTCAATATGATCTTTAAGTTCTGATGCAATTTTGTGAGGAATGCTATAAAGTTTTTTCCCCACTGGTTTAAAACTCGATAGTTTTATTTGAAAAGATGCATTTTTAATTGGTTCGTTTATATTTATGGAAGTAGAGTACTCTTCAATGACTTTATTCAGTTCATCATTTGGTTTATTTGAGTTTTCAATATTCAAGAACTTATTATCATTTTCCAGTTTAGATATTTCAAAAGTCTGATCACCTATCTTTATTTCATTATCTTTGAACGAAACAATTACATCATTCCTTTTTAAGAATTTTTTACCTATTATTATTTCTAAATTTGGATTTTGATAATTTAAAAGTCTTGATTGAATATTATTGACTCAGTTGGACCTAAGGAAAAGGTAAGGTTTATCTTTCTATTAATCTTAACAATTGAACTATTTCCTATAGTTACTTGGGTAGCCTTTGACAAATGTTAGGTTTTAGATTTAGTTTTTTAATCAAACCACTTGTTATAAAACAATGGTCAGCACCTGTATTCACAAGTATATTGTAAATTTCTTCATCAATTTTTTCAGGTATTACTAGCGCATTAGATGATGTACTTGATTTGAAATCAGTCGAATTAAGAAGATAATGTTGATTTAATTTATTGATATTTTGATTATATTGACTATTTGTATTTACTTGTTTTATATTTGCATTAGAATTATTTTTAATTTATATTTCAAAAAATTTCATTTAAACCTTACGTAATGAATTTTGTAATTCGATAATATCTAATGAAGTTAAACGTGATGCTTCAATTTGTAACCAGTTAGGCATGCCAGCGACATAGATTTCAGAAAGTTTGCGTTCAGGCAGTCTATCTTTTTTAGGTAGGCAAGCGTTCATCTTTTTAGTAATATCCATAAATGACTCTGTATAGTTATCTATATTACCATATTTTACTAATTTCATTTTCTTGAGGAAATCTTTGAAATATACATAATTTTCTTCGTTAAAAACCAACGCCTTGAGATTTTATGTTTTAACATTGACACTTGTGCCACCACTGATTGAATCATGATATTTAGAATCAATTACCATATGGAGTAAATTGATTTGTTTCTCTGTACTGGTGATTTTGCACCGTCTAATGACTAGTTTGAGTTGGTCAATCCATTTTAATAAGTATTGTCTATAGATATCACTTAACATTTCAAGTTCTACTACAGGACCTTTGGATTGTCCAATAAAGGTTTCAAACTTTTAATTTTGAGTTGGTATAAATTCCTTAGTATCACCTATTGCTCCAAGTTGTAGTGGGTTTTTAAAATATTACATTTTAGTATTATTAGTATTATTATTGTTGTTCGCAACAGGTTTTGAATTCAAATTACCGTAACTGTTGTTACTGCTATGAGGAATAGGCATATAATATTTTTCGGGTAAGTAATTTATTAATTCCTTAAATATTAATATTGTTTATAAATGAACAAAGTTAATTAATATTTCAATATTAAAAAAGAATTTACAATTATTACTTACTTAGACTAAGTAAAAAGGTTTTTAATCTTTGTCATGTTGTGACATGACACTTATCATTACTCTGTTTTTAATTCATCAGTTATTTTTTCTAATCTTGTTACCCTTTCATCTTTAGTCTGTGTTTCTTCTGGTGATTTAATTAATTTTTCTAATAAAAAATTCTTTTGCCGGGAATCTTCTCTGAAAAAATCCATCATTGTTGAAAAATTATATTTTGTCTTCTTCTCCTTTTTAGTGATATTATCGTTATCACTTATTTGCTAATTCGCTTTTAAATTCTTATCATAGTCGATATTCAAAAAATCATGATAATTTGTAGTAACCAATTCACACCAGTTTATTTCATTATTCAAAATATCTTGATAAAATTTACACTTCACTCCACCACTACCACTTTTGTGTGATTCTAAACTAAAATTTCTAATTTTTTTATTAAATATTATGTTTTTACTGAGTTCTAAAACGCCAAATTTATAATTAAACTCTAATATAATTTTATTAAATACTAAAGTAATCTTGTATATGTTTGTCTTAAACATTTCAAATTTCTTATAACATATTTCATTGTTTTTTAAATAAATTTATCATTTAGTTTCTTAGTCTAAAAATTTTGTAACAAATTCGAGATAAAAAGTTAACCCTAATAACTACCAAGGATAAAAAATATTTAAAAAAATAATTTAACAATGGTTAATTTTGAGAACAAAGAAAAATAATTTTACCATTATAAATTTTATCATAGTAAAAAATTCGAACGCAAAAAAAAATAAATAAACAATGGTAAAAATTTCATCAAATTTTTATAGAAATTTATTTAAATAAATAACCTGATAAAATTTTCGAACATGTCCTAAGTAACAATATAATTTCACTGTGGCTTATTCGATTTACAACTAAACAATCCTAGCGGCTTTGATTGTTAAACTAAAATTTCACAAACTTCAATGTCACTTCCATTTGTATAAATGATATTATGATAACTGGATAATAAATAATGTTTTCTTTTTGGATCAACAAAAATTAATTTTATAATATCCATTTGTCGTTTGTAAATTTAAATTGATGTTTTTACTAGTCGTGTGTGTTTAGATAGTCAAACTTGATAAAAGATTAAGAAATAAAATTTAAACTTATTAATAAAACCAATTAGTAATTAAAAATTTTTCTGTTAACAGGTGTTTATGTTATTAAAATAGTTTATAAATTCATCTGTTTTAGGTTATATGTTTTCACTGTTCATAATAAAACAAAGATCTTTAACTTGAGTTGAACATCAGTTGCCTTTTTTGTATTTATTTTTACATTATTAGTTATTAACATTTCTAAAACGGATTTAATGTGTTCAACAATTTTATATTCATTAAAAAAACAAGCAGTGATATCATCGAGATAAGCACAACTAAAATATAGATGCCATAAAAGTTATTTATTGTTTACTAAAGGTTAGTAATATATTTGAGGTCTAAAGAGTATTTTAAACAATTCATTTCTTCCTAAAAGTGCAACTAAGGCTGTTTTAAAAAAAATTTAATTTTTATTTGATTATAACCTAAATTTAAATCAATTTTTGTAATGACTTTACATTTTTTGCATAAATTTAGTTAGACAATATATAATTAGGTAAAAAATTTTCAGTTACAAAATTTGATTTACAATAATCAATTACCGCCTCATTATCTCTATTTTTATAATAAAAAAATTCGAAAATATACAGTGGTATTCAAAAAAAAGAGCCGGGTATTTTTTGAAAGAAAACATTAAAAAATATATTTTAAGTGATATTTATATAATTTTTTTGCCTTTAAACACATAAAGTAAATTTAATGTGAAAAAGAAATCAAATAATTTATCAAATAAATTATACTTTTAATTAAAAATCTTTAAAACACTTTTCAAAAAAGAGCCTCTTTGTTTTTCCCTCCAATTTTCATTTTTAAAAATCTTTTTTGAAGCCTTTTTATATAGCAAGACATTTAAATGATATCGATAAAGCTTTAATTTGTGATGATATTTATTCAGGATTGAGTTTAATCAAATTTCCATTAAAAGAGGTTTTGCTAGAAGAACTGTACAAAGAATAGCTGAAAACCTCAGAAATAATATTTTAATTAATTTTAAACATGGTTCTAGTCGCCCTAAACTATTAAATGATTCCATGAAGCAATTTATTAAAAATCTTTATAATATGAATCCATTTATTTTATCTAGGGAAATAATTGAAAAATTAATAAGGAATTTAATTTAAAGGTTTCAAGACCTACAATATCAAGATTTTTAAATAGTTTAGGACTTATAACTAAATTGGCATTGAAAAAACATTTATTAAAACCTGTCAATATTAAAAAAAGATTTGAAATTTGTAAAAATTTTTTAGGAATGAAGGACGAAACCCTTAAAAAGATAATTTTTTCAGATGAAGTAAAAATTAACCTATTTACTAATGACGAGGTAAGATATGTTAGACATTACCCAGGAGAAAGACATTACAGCAAAAACATTCTACCTACACTAAAACATGGAGGAAGATGTGTTATGGTCTGGGGTGTATATCATATCAAGATGCTGGTAGACTAGTATTTATCGAAAATACTATGACAGGGGCTGTTTATGAACAAATTTTAGCAAAAAATTTAAGACAGTCAGCTAATGAAATGGGTATTGATTCATTCATTTTTATACATGATAATGATCCAAAACACACTTCAGGTGTTATTAAAGACTGGATTGATACAAAAGAAATTGACATCTTACATTGGTCACCTTAAAGCTTGGATTTAAATTCCTATTGAGCATATATGGGCTTTTATTAAGAAAAAACTTAGTAAAAAAGGTAAATTAAAAAAACAAGAACTTAAAGACGAAATCCTAAGGATCTGGAATTTCATAACACCCAAGATGGTACAGCCATATATTATGAGTTTTAGTAATTTACAATGCTAAAGGCAAACATGTTAATTATTAAATTTTAAGTGGCTCTTTTTTTTAAACAGTGTTTTAAAATTTTTTAATTAAAAGTATAATTTATTTGATAAATTCATTTGATTTCTTTATTACATTAAATTTATTTTGTGCGTTTAAAAACAAAATAATTGTATAAATTTAACCTTTAATATATTTTTTTAATGTTTTCTTTCAAAAAATAATTAAGCTCTTTTTTTTAACACCACTGTAGTTAAATTGTTTTTTTCATAAAACTTTATCTAAAAAACTTATTAATTTTTAACTTATTTATTCATATTAATAAGAAAAAGATTTGATATAAAACATTCTTTGATTTGAAACTTAAACAAAAAACTAATTAATCAGAAACCGATTGGCTCACCGCAACTTTATATTAAAAAAATTATAAATTTATAAAAAATTATAACCTTTAATATGATATAGTGAACTTTTAAATCAATTAGAAAATTAATGTTTATTAAACTTTCTTGGAAATGATTGAAGTCAAAGAACCAATGAATAAAGGTAATGCAGATTTTATAACAACCCAATATTCTTCGTGGGAATCAAAAAACGAGTTGATCCTCTTTTTTTCATTACAAGTTGTTTTGTAAATGACAGAGTCTCTATAAAAAGCTGTTTGTGTTATGAAGAAGGAAGAACAAGAGTTTTTTCATCAATTAAAAAGTTAATATTCTTATCTTTTTTTATTTTAAAAAGAGAATATATCATATTATTGACTACTGTTCAAATAAAAGATAGTAAATTGTAATCAATTTAACAAAATTTATACGGTTTTAAATACATAATCATATTTTGAATAAAAACCTTGAGGTAAAAGATATGGTTGTATAAATAAATATGTCTTTTTTAGAGGTAATCTAAAATGCAACTGATCAAGTATTCTTATTGATATTTATAAAAAGAATGAGTAAACTATCACAACAACAATTTTAATGATAGAGCTGATAGATTATAAGTTTTTTAAATACCAGAAAAGGGTTTTATGAAAATTAATTTATTTATTACAGAAACGAGATAGTGATACTCTGTAACTACTGTTGATTGAACATGTAGATAAACAATGTGTCATTATCTCAAATAGTTGAAGAACTTATCTTTAGTTGAGAATTCTTTTCAATGGGAATAATATTTTAAACCATAGTGGATATTTATAGTTTTAATAATTAGATTTTTATTCAGTTGAGTAAATGTAAATGTTGTCATGGTAAAATAAAAATTATAAAAAATAAAAAAAGACATACTGTTTTTTTTATAACACTTAAGTTTTTTAGTTTTATTTATTAAAAGTAAAAATCGGAAGTCTAAAATTTATAAAATTATTAATAAATTAATATGTTTATTTTTTTGTAAAAAGAATTTAATAAAAAATACCTGTTTAATTAAACAGTTAAAACTAAAATTTTCGCTTATTTAAACAATATCCTAACGTCGTTTTTATAAATTCTTAATATTAAATATTTAGCAAATTTATAAACTATCTGTTGTTGTTGTTTGTTTTTATTTATCATCATAATAGTTATAAGTTTAATAATTATTCTTCAAATAAATTTTAAATTGTTATTTAGTAACAACCATCTTACAATAAAAATAGATTTTATCAATTTTTTCTAACCTGCACAAATGATTTTAAGAAAATATTTTGTTTTTCAAATTTTTAAATAGTATCCGGCTTACTTAGAAAGTGTATGAGTTTCTTTTTAGGTTTTTTTGTATCTTATATTCTTTCGTTTCAAAAACTTAAGTTGTAATTTATTATATATTCATAAAATTGTGGAACTAATAATAATTTAAATTAATATATTATATAGTCGTTTTAAACATTATTGTGATGTTGAACAGCATCAAAATATTATAAAGTTTTTCTTAAAGCAAATAAAGTTAATGTTTAAGTTAAATTTTTTTAAACAAATATATCATTTAATTTTTTAGAATATTTCAAATACAAACTAATTGTTAATAAACGTAGGTTTATGAAATCCGGTTATTAATCAATGAAATATATTACTTATTAAAAATATAAAATCTTATGAAAAATAAAGGTCGAAATTGATTTTAATTGAATTAATGATAATGTGTTTAATATAACTCGGTGTTTTTCAAAACAAATAAGTATAAAAAGATTAAAATATTAAATCTTTTGTGTTTAATTTTTATAACATAGCTAGATTATAAACATTAATTTAAAGTAATTTTAAAATATATTTTTAACAACAAATATTAAAAACCACAGATAAATATTTATAAAAATCAAATACCAAAAATTCTAGACTTTTTAAAAAATACATATCTCTATATATTTAGAATAGCTATCTTACACTTAAAAACACAGTGTGTTTTTTAGGTATTTTATCAATAAAGTTTTTTTAAAGTAAAAAAATTAATTTTACCTTCAAATTCCAAAATATGTAAGTTTTAAGTAATTTTTTATACAAAAAACATTTTTATTAAATTCATATCATAAAATAAACAATCTATTTAAAAATACAAAGATTGTTATTGCTTAAAATATAATTTTTACCATAAAATTATATTTAAAACTACAATCATATTGAAATAAAATTTTTTTCTATCGTGTTCTTTACGAATGCAAAAAAACATTTTATCTTTATAATTATATACTTATCATTGTTATTTTCTTATTTTATAAATTATATCAATTACACCAAAAGATAAAATATATATTATGTCTCGTGTTTTTTATCATTAAATTCTAATATGATCAAATTTTTGAATTTAAACACTATATGGTTTCTTTAATATAAATATTCGTGTTTATATCATTAAAAACACTTTAAACCAATATAAAATACACACAATTGTATTGTGCTTGAAATATAAAATTTTTTATAACTAAAATTGTTTGATTATACTTTAACTGACATAAAAAAATTCTTACTATTCACAGTATAAATTTATGTTTACAAAAATTCCTTTATACTTTTTATAAAAGTTAATTTTATAATATTATTTAAAAAATAATATTATAACAAAAAAGTGTGAGAAGAAAGACATAATTATAAAAATTTTATTAATTCTTACTACTTTCAAAATAAAATATAAAGATCAAATAAACTAAATATATTTAATTATAATTTTTCAAATGAAAAAATTCTTATAAATAAATTGCTTGGTGTTAAATATGACCACAAAAAGTTTGTAAATTCTTATGAATGTATTAAAGCAAATCAATTAATAGATTGGTTTTTTTATCATATGCGCAGAAGAATATTTTTAAATCGATTTAGAATAATATTTTATATTGAAATAATTATTTTTTTAAAAAAATAAGATTATTGTATTCACATAAATAAACAAAATAATATTGTTTTCTTATAAAATTATATATGAATTTATGTTTGAAACCCCTGTTTTAAAAAACTTAATCAAAAATTCATTAAAATAATAATGATTTATAAAGAAAAGTTTTATTAATATAATAATAGTGACAAAAAATTTTAAGATTTAAAAATGATGTATTTTGTTATAAATTCGTGAATCTTGAATAGCTTTAAAGTTTTTCTATATAACAAAATTACTTTTTCAAATAATTTGTGAAATATTTTTGTTAATTACTTAAATAATTGTTTAATTTATTAAATAAAGGTTGTTTGTTTTTAGTTTTTTATTCAGGTTATTAATAAAATATGTTCTTAATTACTTACAAAACCTTTTCTTTTTAAATATCTAAATCGCGTTTGTTTCAAGTTTATTGCTACCATTATTAATAATATATTACTAATATAAATATCATCACCAATTTTTTATTTCTATTATTTCAAATCATAAATTAATTTCTAAAATAAATATAAAATTAAAATAACAAGTTACATCTTTTGTTGATCATTGTGTAATAAATAATAAGATTTTTTCGAACATATTTTCTTCAAAATCCTCAAACAATTTTTAATTTATTTTAATGATTTAATTAAAATATTTCTTTTCCAAAAATAAAATAAAACTTTTACATAAACTAAAAACCTTTAATTGTCTTAATAATAAAATAAAACTATGTGGTAGTTTTTTTCGAATACAAAAAACATGTTATAATATTTTTTTAATATTCACTAAAATATTTTTATTTTTTGTCGTATTCATTAATACAGTTTAATACAGTTATCTTAAAAAAAATCTTCATTTAATATTATTTATTTTTTAATATATTTCCGAAATAAATAAATTTTATATAATAAATTTGAAATAAACATTTTACTCCTGAATATAAACTATAAAAGATATTTTAACAAAACCCAAACACGAGTTTATTATAATAAATAAAATTCTTACAATATCTTAATTTTTTCCTTCAAATTTTAAATTCTATAATTTAAATAATTGTAGACGACATGTAAGAATACTTATTTTAATAAATCAAATCATTTAACTTGTATTATTTTAAGGCTGTATAAAAATTCTTTTTGTTGTTTATTAAAAATATATCTGATTTTTTGTAAAAACTTTAAAAACACTCAAAAATAATATTAATGGATATTCTTATACTTGATATAAAATAGGTTTTTTAAATCATTATATGATTTTATAGACATTTATTCTTATTTTTAATATAGTAAAATTAATTTGATTGGATTCTTATACTTCTGTAATATTAAAAG